GAAGGACGTCCTTGCAGGGAAGTCTATTTTCTAACACTTCTTTTGTTAATTTATTGGTTAGAAGAAAATTATTTTCAGAAGTTGTGAGTAATAACGTTATTTCAATCTTAACAAGTTTTCTTCTTAAGTAGCCAAAGTCACAAGGGAGACAAGTGCCTCAGTACAGCAGAAGCTATACCGTACCTCTCTTCAGCTGCCAACTGAGTGGAAGATGCTATTGTTATCCTGGTTTAGTAGTCCTGCTCCAGGGTTACCTGAATTAATTATCTAAAACCCTTTGTAACTTAGAATTAGCATTTGAATATTATGTTTTCCCCTCCTCCTCCTAATAGCTTTTTCTTTTATGTTTCATTTTTTTTCCATGGTAAGATTAAGACAGTGGCATTACTTTTCATTTAACCATCACATCAGGTTTTTAGATTACATGTAATTGTCAGGAAGGATTTCAATGTCTTCATTACTAAATAAAATCATATTATATGTCTATCACAAACATGATAGGATCTGTGTTGTTTGCCAAACATGTTTTGAAAACTTGGACTACTGCTTAGAGAATAGAAAGAGGTTGAAACAATCTTTGATCCAATGGAACGGATGATAGAATGATATATCAAACTTTACCAATATCCAGTCCCGCCTATGTATGCATACAAATAAGAATTCCCTTGGAGTTTTATTCTCAACAAATTCAAAGGTGCTTGCTTGGAAAAAGTGATAAGGTTTATGTAGGACTGGGCATATTTCTAGTTTTGATTTGTATTTATCCATAATACATGAATTTATCCATAATACATGAACCACAAACCTGACACTTCTGAAGATGGTGATTTTGATGTGTGATTTATGCCACACCTGTGCATTGCGCATTAAAAAAAGGAGCAAGGTTTCAATCGTACAGCTGCCTTGATTTATTTTAACAGCCCTCCCGTCCTGCACTTTCTCAGCTTACTGATAGGCTTCATGATAACATCACCCATACAGGGCAACATGTGAATCAATAAATGGAGGCTTAGTTAGATGATCTGAAACCCATTTATATGATACAGCAAAGTAATAATGAAAATGTAATAATAGAATTCCTCAATAGTGCTATTACATTTTTTGCCCAATCAGCCAATGGCCTTTTCAGGAGCATCTGGATTTGGATTAATCAGAAATTGAACTATATATTAGACATGCTTATTAATGGCTTTTCAGGATTTGGGTACCAGAGCAGAAAAACAGTCAAGGTGTTCCTTGATCTCTGATCATTCTGCAGCAGAATGCTATGCAAATCTGTTAACCTCAAAATTCAAACAAGATTCATATGTCTGAGACATATGAACTTTTCTATACAGGTAGTTCTTACTTAACTACACAACTGGGATTGGCAACACTGTCACTAAACAATAGCAATAGCACTTAGACTTATATACTGCTTCACAGTGCTTTACAACTCTCTATGCAGTTTACAGACCCAGTATCAGTAGTGGGATTCAGCCAGTTCGCACCACTTCGGGAGAACCAGTTCTTACCTTTCTGAGCTGTTCACCAGTTTGGTGAACTGGTTGTTAGAAGAAATCATTAGGGCAGAGAACCGGTTGTTAAATTATTTGAATCCCACCACTGCCCAGTATATTGCCCTCAACAATTTGGGTCCTCATTTTACCAACCTTGGAAGGTGAGAATTGAACTGCTGAACTATTGGCAGCTGGCAGTCAGCAGAAATAGCCTTGTAGTACTACATTCTAACCACTGTGCCACCATGGCTCAATGCAATTGTTAAGCAAAATATTACATGAACGTGACTTGTTATGTTATTGCCACCTTTTCCATTGACTCTGTTAGTCAGAAGTCAACTGTGAAGCATACAAATCATGATCACATGACTGCAGGATGCCACAATAGTTGTAAATGCTTGCTGGTTGCAAAGCACCCAAATCTCAATTACATGACTTTGGGAATGCTGCAATGGTCGTAAATGCAAGAACTGGTTGTAATGTTCCTTTTTCAGTATTTGTTGCAACTGTAAAACATTGCTAAACAGGGCAGTCATTAAGTACAGGCTATCTGTATGTCATGAGAATGTGAGTAAGCTTTAAAAGCCCAGTGTGATTATATGGCTATATCAAAATTCAAAACAGTTACACATATTTCATTTCATCTAAACCTGGATTTTCACTGAATTTTCAAGCAGTTTCATTCAAGCCATCATGTGGTGCTTTCAGCACATCCACAGTTTGTTCATATTCACACCTATCTATATTGAAATTTTATTTGATTGAAGTAGCTAGGATGCGCAAGCTTTCAAAGCCAAAGGTACACATGAAGTAGTTAAACTATACACAAAGCAACAAAATATACATTTGAAATATAATAAAAAGTAATAAACAATTATCTTAAAATAGAAATCAGTTATAAAAAAAATTCCAGATCAAAGATCCTTCACAGATATTAACTAAAGTTGTATGAATAATAAATAGATTGCTTGTTCATTTGCACATTTCATATATCATTTGCAAATAGTTGATTTTGAAACATTTAAATAAGAAGTAATAAGGTCATATTTGCAATATAAGGCAATGCTTGTGCAGTCAAGACTATTAGAGTAAGCAAATTTGATTAAGATATAATATAGCACCTACTTTGATCCAGTGGATGGGTTAATTTGAAATCAGGAGGAGGAGGAGGAGGAGGGGAGGAGGAGGGGGAGGAGGAAAAATTTGTCAGAAGATGAAAAGCAATTTGTATATTCTATATGAACAACTGATTTATAAAATTACTGATAAAAGGTTAAATATTTAGAAATTTTTTTAGTTATTCCAGAATAATTATTTACTAACCTGAAAGCATATAATGACAGATGTTTTCAAATGAAATAAATTAAATATGTCTTGATTAGAATTGCACAGTCAAAATGAATATTTCCCCAAATACTTCACTTAAGTTTTCTATTTCAGATTGTTCCAATTCCTGTTGAGAATAAGACACGGTATTAAAAAAAACTGGCATATAACAAATTATAAATGGTCTAATAAAGGACCAAAGATTGAACTCAAGAAATTGCAACATTCAAAAGAACAAAATGGCTCTGTGGCCCTGAATTTCAAATTAGATTATTTTAGCAGCTGACTATCAATGGATTATATTACTTTATGTTCCATCTCCTTATGGAAGGAGCAGATCTTCCCCAGGGAAAGCATAGANAGAATAGTTTGACTCTCTCTTATTTGTGGCAACCCTGAGATATTGGAATATTGCTATCATGTCTCCCCTAGTCCTTCTTTCTATTAAACTAGAATACCCAGTTCCTACAATAAGTTCCTTAATTCCTTCTTATTTCTGGATCAGAAGGAAAGGACATCCATGAGGATGTGCTGTGAACCAATTGAGAGAATGAATGAGGGCTGAATTGCAAAACAAATATATAAAGAAAGAGCAAATGGATTGAACTGAAGGAGAAAGTTACAATGAAAGTGAAAAAGATAAAAGCACCTAAGTAAGTAGATTGTCAGGAAGCCACAAGAGCAAAGCCAGTAAAAGGCACCATTCACAAATGCAAGAGATTCTACATCGATGCAGAGTGTGTGAAAGATAAAGATGGATCTGTTAACTTGGTGTATTTACTGGGCAAATTCTTAAAGGTTCTTAAATGCATATGTGTCAATGTTAAGATAAAAAACCATTTCTTAACAAGGATCAGAAATGGACTGTCACAAGTGAATAGTGGCAGACTGACTTTATTTTTTTCTTGACAGAGTCACTAGCTTGATAAATTGTGAAAATGAAAACATATTGCATGATGACTGCGGCAAAGAATTCCACAAAGTCTTACATTATACGCTCATAGAAAAAGATGACTAGATGGCATCATAAGTAGCTGAAAACTGCCTCTAGAGCCCGGTTGTCAAACTTGCTGCATCACGTTGCCATCACGTGACATTTTGTGACATTTTTTACATTTGCAGAGCTGGGGTGGACATGTGGCCTGCATGTGAAGCATCCAGTCCATGGGCCACCAGTTTGACATCCTGATCTAGAGAGAACTCATGAATGCCTCTGAATTGGTTTGAAGAGTAGAATTAAGTTCAAAATAAATCAAGATGGTGAGCAGGACACTGCAATCAAACTATCTGCTTTTTAAGGTGTGTCACCTGTGCAAGACATCTAAAAACAGCAGAGCTTTGATTGCACTTTCCTGGCCACCATCCTTGGTGTTTTTTTTAACCGCAGATATCCCTGATCAAGTAGAATGTCACAGGGTGTCCTGAACTTAATGTTGTTCAGTAGGCCTGACTGAAGTGATTGAGAGGATGATAATCAAATTGGCAAATTATACAAAATTAGCAGCAAGATACTGCAAGAGGAATTCAAAAAGATCTAAATAGGTTTGACCAGTGGATAGCAGGGGAGGATATGTAACAGGGGGAAAGAGATTTTTATTTGAGTAGGAGGGAGAAAAAAATGAAGGACACAAGAAAAGTACATATGTACATCTTCTAGTACAGCAATGATTTAATTTGAGCCAAATGTTATGCAGCTGCTATAAAGACAAGTGATATTTTAGGATGTATTAATAGACGCAAAGGGTGTCAAACCATGGGTGTCAAACTTGCGGCATCACATTGCTACATCATGTAACATATTGTGATGTTTTTTTCCCTTTGCAGAATTGGGATGGGCGTGGCCTGCATGTGATGGCCGGAGACCGCCAGTTTGACACCCCTGGCATAGACTGTAGAAAGTAATGTGGCCCCACCCTCTACTTTGCCTTGGCCATGCCCCATGTGAAATTCTGGGTCCAATTCTCAGTGCTGTTGGCCAGAAGGCTAGCTAGCCTGTGAACCCAGTGTGAAGAAGAGCCGAGGTGGTGCAGTGGTTAGGGTGCAGTACTGCAGGCCACTTCAGCTGACTGTTATCTGCAGTTCAGTGGTTCTAATCTCACCGGCTCAAGGTTTGACTCAGCCTTCCATCCTTCCGAGGTGGGTGAAATGAGGACCCAGACTGTGGGGGCNGTGTGTGTGTGTGTGTGTGTGTTTGAGAGAGAATGAGAGAAAGAATTAGAGGGGGGGCAGAAATTGTTATGGATTGAAACAATATATAGCTGCAAATCTTTAAGGATGGATGTATTGCTTCAAGGATAAATTAATGTATACGTATTTTCCTTTCAAAAATGTCATCCTACTTTGAAAATTAATTTCAAAATACTTTTAGATTGTGACATGGGATCATGGTTTTACTGTAATAACTGTCATAATTTAGGTCATATTTTTTGAAGAATGGTGGTGGTGAAATCTAGTAGTAGTAGTAGTAGTGTCCATGGTGTGACTTTTAGCAGGAAAAAATGTATATATATAAACATTAGAACTGTCAAATTTTGTAACCAGTCTAGATTCGTGCATCTTTAATGGCAGATTGGCTGATTCCTTATTTCCATGTCATGAAGGATTCCCTTCTGATTTTTGCAGATTTGTTCTCTATTGAACAGCCAAGTCAGCCAACAGCTCAGATTTTCCCCTTCTATTTAGGTGGCAGTGCTACTTGCTGGAGTTGATTGGTGGTCATAGGAACACAAAAATCCTAGCAGAAATCCTTTAGAATATAATAATGGGAATTGGAAGGAAAGTGATAAAAAAACGATGGTTACCTCAAACCTATCTGGGCAGTATTACCAACTCCACAGTAGTAACGAAGAATGTACTCCCACATCCACTTATTGTAAGTAGCCCAATAAGACCTCAGAAAGCCAACATATATAGGACTGCATGAACTGATTCAACTCAACTCACACAGAGAATATCTTAAGCATCAGGAAACAGCTAGAAATTAATATATTGATTTGTTCTTTTAATACATCATATTTTTTTTGGTTTCAGGTGCTTTAGGTATTCAAGCTTTGGCTAAATCTTCTACAATCTCAAGACTTCTAAAGTTAGTTTTGTAACAGGGGAAAGAAACATTGTAATGGAATACAAAACTAAGAACAAAACAGTGAGGACTGCAAACACAATTCATATTATTCCAGAGAAACTCCAGTCCAGAGGAATTAGCAGTAGAGAAAAGCGTAAAATGACAAGACAAGACTAAGCCTCGTCCCACGGTGCATATTTTGAAATCTAGACTAAATGTATTGAGATCAAATGTCCTTTTAAGGACATGGTCTGAATGTATCATGCGGATATGAGATCCTGCAAGCACTTATGCACACATCAATAGTGTTTTGTTTTTTGGGGAGTGAGGGAAAGCAAGGACATGGACTTATCAGTGATATACGGGCACAAAAGTACTTGCAGAATTCAAATACTGGAACTTGTACATTCTCACCTTACTACAAAAGATGGAAACGTATCAATTCAGTGCCATTTGATGAAAAGTCCTCTTCAAGACAGACAAAAATGGTAAGTCTCCAGAGTTATCAATGTGGGTGAATCATAACAGTCATGATCTATATAATATATTTTTCCCTCTGGGGAAATTCAATACATTCCCTCCCCCCCCCATCACAGTGTACATGATTTTAATTTGCCTGGCTAACTTCAGGGAGAGTGTTTATGGACACCTGGTTTTTCTATAGCTTAGCCGGCTTTAGCTATAGAAATTATAAAGCATTTCCACTGACTAATATGTACACGGGATAATTAAAGGAGACAGATGTAGTTCTCTTGGGTGCTATCCTATTCCGGTGCCAGTTTAGTCTTCTGAGAGACAGCATTTCAGGTCTGTGGGAGGGGTTCTGCCACTTTGCTGCTGCTCCAGCTGCTGCTGCCACCGTTGTCACCTGGGGGTTCCTAGAAGGGAAAGGGAAAAGGGAGGAAAACAAAACCAAAGGAAGCTTAGGTTAATCACTTCTGGGATTTTGGACAGCTCAGAGGATTGTGCTAAATGTCTGCAATGATTACAATGATCTCATGATGTCCCTCTGAGGGAACTCACATTCTACCATGTTTGATGGGCCCTATTCCTAGCCAGATGTGTATAGCAGAGGGGGGTTCCTACCGGTTCGGACCGGTTCAGCTGAATGGGTTGTAACTTGGCAGCCTGGGTTGCTGGAACTGGTAGCGATCCAGGCCTGCCACCCCCCCGAACCGGTTCTCCTACGGCGGCGCCATCTTGATTTTTGGTTCTGCAAATGCACAGATCAAATTTCATTGCAGAAATGTATTTTCCCCCTTTTTAATGTTTTGCGCATACACAGACAATTTTTGATGCAAATGTGCACATGAACAGGCAGAAATGCCAGCAGCAACCCACCCCTGATGTAGAGGATTGTAGCTTTTTTTTCTGACATTCACAAATTGCTGTGTGAATCATCTATTCCTGAAAATGAATATCAACAGCACGAAAAGAAGTTTTTACTAGGGTTTCTGCTTTTCTTTTCTTCCAAGAGTTTGAATTCACCTTCCAATTCTGCCAAAAAGAGCTTCATTACTGGAAACGTTGATCTCACCCAGATTTTTAAAGACGAATTTCAACATAATATGTTTATCACACTTTTTTAGCCAAGCAGCTCCAGAGGGTATAAAGCCTCCTCCATCGCCCTTTCATCTTCATGGAATTTTCCCCCAAAACCTTTTCTGGTAATAGAACTCGTTACTTCAAATTTTTTGGGGGGAAACTCCTGCTGTCTGGCTCTCAAACACAACAAAGGGTGAAGTCATCATGACCCCAAGTAACTCATAGGGTTTGGAGCAGTGGTGGGTTCCAGATCCCATTGCAACCGTTATGGTGCAATGGGGCCAGGCGGCCACCACATGAACGCGCACAGTGCATGCACACACATGTGCAGCGTGCACTCACATGTGCAATGCACACATGTGCACTTATTGCCTGCGACACTCCAGCTGCTCGGCAGAGCATCATGCAGGTGCCGTACTCTCTGTGAGCGTGCGCAGAAGCCCCAAAAACATCAAATACCAGTAAGGAGTGCGGGTGGGTGGATGGGCCCTCTGGAGCATCATACCGGAACGGTACCTGGTGCTCCTGGCAGGCACCGGTATGCCCATACCGGGGTGTACCGGTCATAATCCACTACTGGTTTGGAGGCTTTTTAATGTTAGCTAACCAGCCCTGCCCCTGTCTATTTTAAAAAATGGCTATGAATTCTCCTGATTGCTGGCTGGAGTTTGAAAAACGAAGTATCTTTTTGGTTGCTGAAAGAAGGATCTGAGAGGTAAGAGTTAACGCCATCTATGGTAGCTGGAAGGCAGAGCTTAAGTTTCTCATATCCCAATGAGAAATCCTCTCACTTTCAGATAAGTGCACTGACTTTAGCTCAATGCACTCCAAATTCCTTTTTAATTGAATAATTCATTGCAACATACAAAAAAACCAAAACGAGTGGAAGGAAATGGAACTGCAACAGATAACATTTAGCAAACACAGTCAGTAGTTAGTATCATGGGATAAACTACAGCAATATTCCCACACTGGAACAGTAGTTGTTACTGTACCTTCTATACCTGTTTATCTTACAATGTTTAATAAATATATGTGGCTCTACCCTACAATTATGGTGGGATTCCTTCTATTAGAGCTGTTGAGATGGGCTGTGCTGCTGGAGAGAAGCTCTTCCTGGCCAAAGCAACGCAGCCTGTGGGTGATAGATGATGTAAACTGCTGTTTTGTAGAATAGGGGTCCCCAAGCCCCAGGTAGCATCCTACTACCGGGCCTTGAGCTGTTTGGAACTGGGCTGCAGAAGTGGCGGGCAAGTGCTCATGTATGCATCTCCACTTGCACGAGCAACGGCAAAGTGTGCGCATGTGCTCTCCATTTGAATGACCGCCAAGTGGAGCTTGCCCACCACTCCCGTGGCACCACCCCCACTATTCCCCTCACCGGAATTTGAAAGTTGGAAAGGTTGGGGAACTTTGTTGTAGGAGACATATAGGCCATTGGCTTTTCACCCTTCTACAGCAAGTTCGAGATATATTCCCAGCACGTCACATATCTAGCTTGTGCCTAGTTTATTCCTCGCTGATGGGAAAGTCAGAATGCTTCCTTCATCCTTAGCTGATTTTCTTTGTATTTGATGTTGGGGAATGGCGGGAAACTTTCTGTTGGTTTTTGTGTGAATTCCAGAACATATCTTCTTCACCCAACTATCTTTGTAATTCTTCTGCCAAATGCAGGTCATCTGCTGACCTGTGAATGACAGCATAAAATTGAGGAATATTTTTTTTGGTTCTTTTGTCTTGCCTAGTAGTAGAGTATTTGTTTGGGCAGGCTGGGAACCATTAGTTGTTTCTCTAATGGCTTCCTACCTGAAAAAGTTTGGGCGGCTATAATTGGAATGGGACCTTCAGTCCAAAATGTTTGGATTGTTATCATTGGAATGGGACCTTCAGGCCGCTACCCTTGGCTCCATCTCTTTCTCCTCCAGGCTTCTGGCTCCGCCCATTTACCTCTAGTTTTCCTCCTCAGTTGGCCCTCCCCTAGCCATTCACTATTGTTGGGCTGAAGGAGAAAAGCTGATCTTCTCACGTAGTTACTCTCCTTCAGGAATCCTTCAGGATTCTACGCAATATTGGCCATGTTTTATACCAGGGCTGTGTCAATAGACTCTCCTCTTAGTTCATTTCCTGAAATGGGCTTAATGGTGGACTGCCTCCCAGTGCTGTCCCATCTCTGGAAATCATGGATCTAGCTGCAAATTGTAAGCCGTCCATAGAAATATCTTTCAGGAGCTATTTGCTGATGTTGTCTGAGGCATCTGGTTAATGTGTGAAATTGCCCTGTGTTACATCCAGGACTAGGAAAGAATCTAGGCAGATGATTCCCAGAATATATATCTTTTGGTTCATCCCAAAAGCAGAAGTCTGCTGCCAGAAAAAAAAACAGCCCTAGAAATGGAAGGAGGAAATGGTGTTTATTTGTTTAATGTCAAATTTCCCACCACTGGGGTCAGAGTTCTCCCTCCCTCTGCAGATGAAAACTCAAAATATCCTATATCATCTGAGATTTATAGCTCTAATCAAAATGACATTGAATAATTCAGTTGCCTTCTGTAGCTGTTGATTAAATCTTCTCATACTATACTTATAAAATGGCATGATTAGCTTGGCTGAATGGTAAGGACAACCTTAATAAAACGGTTAAATATCTGAAGGGCAATATCTTATGAAAACAAACAAGAACCCTCCCTTTTGAGTAGGGAAGCATTGTGTGGCCAGGGAAAGAGAAAGACTGAGGAATTAGCTGAGTCCATTAAAATGGCAGCTTGGCAATTATTTTATACTTAAAGGCTCTGGGGTACCCTGAGGGCTGTTGGCAGGATTTTTGCATGAAGACAGAAATGGAAATTTTCCATATTCTATCCCTCTGTGAAATGTGAAGATTGATGCTGTGTAATTTCTGGTCATTAACCAGCTTCCCATGTGTGGAGAACAGAACAGGAAATAAATGGCAAAAGACGAATTCTCTTTATGCCTCCCTTTTTTTCTTGTGTTGGGGTTTTCTTTTTTTGGTCCAAAATGTCCAAATCAGCTTGTGTCCAGTTAACTAT